TTATTACCAAACATTTTAGCTAATAACTTTAATATTTGAAGTTCAAAACTAGTGACAACTGTCTAGATTCATAAATACATACCTTGCAAAGGCTACAAAATGACTTTTTTGGTAGGTTTAGTGGCATATTGGAGTGTCACAGCGCCAAGAAGTTGACAACCGGAAGTTTACAAGCAAAACCGGTGACCCAAAACAGAAACGCCCCCAGACATTTTGCCCCTGTGCAAATCCGCACACAGACATGGAAATATATCAAACGTATATATTTTTCAAAAGTTAAATACCTGAACATTTCATTTATCTAAAAATCTGTCATCAGTTCCTTATTAAACTCCTTCAGTGGCCCAGTAATTAGCCGGAACTTATTTCAAACGTATGAAACACTTGCTGATTGGCTGATTTAGTTGTGTGAGTCCTATAAGACTAGGAAAGGCTAAACTTCAGTATCTTTATCTACCATCACTTATCTAGAGAAAATGATGTCAAAGTGTGAATACACATGTATACTGCACAACTGCCCGAGGTATGTATCAAGAAGCGGACTACTTTTAATATACAGTTAGCGACTGTTGCAGAGTAGATCTAGGTAGCCGACGTATATATTGAATTACCCACCGGTGTGCAGCTGTCCATTATCGCTTGTATATTTTCCAAACTCGGGTGTTGGGGGAACTGGAATGTGACCTTATTTTGCAGTGGTGTAGCACTGCGCGACTCAGTAGGTGTTGGATAAAATTGATATTCCGTGATAGCGGGGATTGCGTGCATCAGGATAGTTGTTTATTTTTTGGGGGAACAGTGTACTAAATAAAGATGTATATTTTCCTTTTAAAACTTATTTTTATTAATTATGATAATATCGTAATATGTTTGCTTTGGATAAACAATTGATTTATAATCACATATCAATATCGCTTTTTATGTACAATCAGGACGATAGGCCTAATATGCACGGGTGGTGCAGTGGATAGCACACTTGCCTTTCACCAAGGCGGCCGGGGTTCGATTCCCCGATCGGACGTGAAAAGGTTTGGGTCACCTGCCCGATTACGTGGGTTTTCTCCGGGTACTCCGGTTTCCTCTCACACTAAGACCCCCACGCGCTAATATCCGGGCCAACAAGAAATAACTTGTTTCATACTTGTTGTAAAATAAATAAGTTTATTATAACTGAAAAAGACATGTTTGCGCCCAGATTTTTTTTAAAGAAACTGATTGATTAATTGATAGGTTTTACGCCGCTAGCGTAATAAAGTATTACACTGGCCTCTTTTTTAAACAGCCACTTGAACTGAGTTATGTAGGATTGATAAGTACTTCATAATAATGCATGACGTGTTGTTTTACATATACTTCATATTGTATACCTTTGAGTTGTATAACGTTGTATTTATATGAGGCCATCAAATTACTTTGTAACAAAGTCATTTCACATAACGTCTTCAGTAATCGTGCATCCTTTATGTGTGGACTTGTATATATAAAGGTAAGCCAGTGTGCAGTGTACCAAATCCGGGTGTCCTATACTTAGCCTGACCTACTTACCAATGTGACACCGTATCATTCATTCAAGTAGCTAATGTGGTCATGTTACTTTTTTTTGTTTATTTGAGATTAATAAAAATTAGTATCGGGGATTAGAATAACAGAAAAAAATACTTGCTGAAGTCATGACGTCACTGTGATCCGCATAGAATTTGAAACCGCATTCTATATCCTATGTTGAACGAATAATATATACCAACTGGTCCACTATTATAAAGGTACACCACTTAAAGATTACGTGCCCCCATACAAAACCGTACCTGCTTTGATTGTTGTTATATTACAAACTCAAAACGGAAGGTAGCTGTCCTACTTTTGAAAATTCTCTGTAACCTATTTCTGAACATTTTTGTCCGTGACATTGAGAATCCCACTTGATCGGTCGGTTTCAAAACCAAGTTGCCAAGATCCAGATTTGGAAACAATGCCTGCAATCTATGCTCAAATATTGGGTGAGGGTAGCCTTATGGCAAACATATATATCCATATAGATGCAGGTACCATTTTTGTTATCTAGGTTGTAATTATATATTAATTAAACTACACAGTAGACACCTCTCTAGAGTAACAATAATGTATTTGTAGACAAAAATGGACAAACATGGCAAGCAATATTTTTCGAACTATCACCTTCTCCTAAAATAAGAGAACATCTGTTTTACCAGTACTTTCTGTATTTTGATTTTTCTATTGTAATTATATTTTGCAATTTCGTGTAAATAAATAATATGCTTTTCGAGATAAACCAAATATAAATATCTGTCAATATAACTAAGTTACAGTTATGGTTGAAGCCTTTAATTTTATTCTCAGGAATAAACCTTAAACAAAATATTAATATAATATCAGTGTTACCGTAATATTACAAGTTCATAAAAACCATGACATTTTTTATACATCATAGGAGACTGGGTTTGTCTTGCTAACCTCTCAAATCTCTGTATAATTTTGTACGGACGATGCTTTTTTAAGTCCGTGTAATGATTTCAACCCCATTTTCTATATCTTAAAAGAAATCACTGTTTTGATTTAAAACCGGTTTGTCGTCTGTCAACTGTTATTTGGTTTTATGTCAACAAAAATATCTTAAGTAATTTACTGTAAATACAGTGCCGTACCTAACTGCTTTCAGAGCGAACCACAGAGTGATATGTGAATCAGCATGTTTACATTCAACATAGAATTGTAAAGGTGGTCGTAATAGTCAAGTTATGGAAGAAATATCTAACATATGCCAGTACATGTTGTATAATCAATGATTTTTTTTAAATTATCCTCGTAACATACTGAAATACAGAAGCAAATAGAAATATGAGCTCCCAAACCAAAACACCTTGCCTATGGGATCATATTCATAACCTGCTTTTGTAATGATAAGTAAACTAGCGATGTAATACATAATAGATGAATGCACAAACAACACTACATAACAATATGTATGTCGTAGATTATGTCGCCAATTAATTCTGTTTAGGAACGTGATTATAAAGATATATATCGTAAGTTACGTTAGACAAGCAAACATGCAACTGTATTTATAATACTAGTAGGCGATGTCTTCGAATTAAATTATTAGTAAGTCACAAAGTTCACAAAGATATGTAATATATATTTCATCAAATTGTTCAACTTTGGGGACGACATCTAATATTTCTATTGCACCATATCTGAATCTGCAGATGCAACTATACTATCTATATGATACACTCATTGTGATTAGTTGATTTTAAAGATTTATAGCAAATATTACCATTTAATTTAAATATTCACAATTTTTCATTCTTGGTTACGAATATACATAATATTCCACCGGATTATTTGCTACCACAGATGTGTGTACTATGTATCAGGTATTTTGTGACAATTTAACTTTTTCTTTTTAGCTTCGAATCAACTAAGAAGCGTTTCTTGTATGTTTATATAACACTGTGACTTGGTAAATACACGTAATAACAACGATATAGTGTTATAATGAAACAGAATTTGTTTTTAAATGATGTCAGTGCGTGAAGTTCTCAATATTGAGGATCTCTGCTCCACTAAAGGAAATAATGACTTACAAATGCATTAAAGCAGGTCGTTTGAGTTCAAAATTATCAGTCTTTGTGTTCTGACGTCCTGATACGTGTCGTCATTTCAACGTGATACTTTGTCATTTTGATCGGCAGAAGAATATATATCTCAAATATAGCAGTTGGCAGCTTACAGCCTCACAGAAAGAAGAAAAAAACACATACTTGCTGCTATATTTTCAAGTACGCTTATGGTATATATATATATAATACATTATATCATTATTCCAAATATCTTTATTTAATATTCTGCCTTAAAAAAGGGCAAAATAGAAAAATTTGTTTAAGTCATACCAGCAATTTTACTTTGTTATCAATGCCGTAATCATGTACCTAGGTCAAATAGAACTAAACATTTATCATAATGGAGCACTGAATTTCAACTCAAAGCCGATAGGAAGAAGCAACAATAGACATCAGTTATATCAAAACTAAAAGGAAAAATCAGAAACCCTCTGTAGAAACATATCGATGGTAAAATAGATCGCCTTTGAGTTGCTATCTTGTTTTTGTGTATTGATGCTGTGGTGTGTTTCTTTTTTACTTGTTTACCCTATCACTTCCATATTTCCCCAATTTATTGCTTTGTAACAATGGTCATGATACACTTGCTACGTAAATAAACGAAAGAAATTACAAACTTTATTTATTTTACAAACAATATTAACAGTAGAAAATTACAAGTTCATATTTCTGTCGACCATACATAGTTTGATTTGGTTTGGTTTAGTATTGTTTACCGTCCTATCAACAACAGCTATGGTCATTTAAGGACGACCTCCCCTGCGTGCAAGATACATGCGTGTTGTGTATGCGAATGGTTTTTGGGAGGCTGCGATATGTTCGTGTTTGTTTCCTTGTGATAGCGCGGAACTGGTGCCGACTTTATAGTGCTACATGTACCTCACTGAAACATACTGCCGAAGACACCCAGCAGGACACCCCACCCGGTCACATTATACTGACAACGGGTGAACCAGTCGTCCCACTCGTCAATTGCTGAGCGTTAAGCAGGAGTAGAAACTACCATTTTTACAGACTCTGGTATGTCTCGGTCAGGGGACAGAACCCAAAGCCTTCCTCACAGGGGGCGAACGCTCAACTGAAGGCCAAAAGTGAGGCATTAGGAAGAAGAAAGTTGTTTAGAAAGAAGAGAAAAGATAAGATCCCAAATTTAGTCGCCTACGATCATGCAATGGGGGCAGCAGGTACAATTATTACGCCCTACCTGCAGGGACGTCTGTCGACCATACACAACATGAACAGTGAAACCTCGATTAAATGCCACTCATTTCATTTGCCACCTCGTTTACTGCAAACATATTTCACATTTCCCTCAATCTATTGTCAAGCCCTTTTATAATGCCAAAACCTCTCTGGAATAATGGTGGCATTATAACGAGTTTTTGCTGTACATTAACTGACTAAATCTGTAATACACGAAAGAAGTTAGGGCTGACTAGGAATCAAAGTAACAATAATGTACAAACATGTACAAGTTTATATATATTCTAAATACATTTTTGAAACAAATTACAATAAAGTCACAAATTGTTTGTAAAACTTTTCAGCAAACACACATTGCCAATTTAAATATTTATATTCATTCTAAAATTTCGTAATGAGTAACAAGCATTATCCATGCAATCCAATCAACAATGTTGAACTATTTTCATTGTTTCATTGTATTACTACGCTTCCTTTTACGTTATCTGACACGCCATGTCTGTCCCTATGTAGAAATATTCGTTAAGTAACGTTATTCATAATCAATGTATGCATCATTTACAATAATTGATTCCACCTTTCGATTAAACATTATTATTTTTACGTATTTCTTAGAAGAAAATGTTGTCCGATGTTATTTCATAAAGCAATACACTACTTACTTAAGAGATTCAAATACTTACTATGAACATGATATATCCCCAAAACAGTCGTCTCATTTTTGTGATCTGATGAAACATTGTGCAGAAGTAATACACAAAACTTCACTTAGACCATTCATATCCTATATATATATAAACCATGGTATAAAACAGAAACCACCATGGAATTTCGTTTGTCGGATGAAAGGATTTGGGGTGAACTTCTGGTGTACAGAATATGAATATGTGGTATTTATGATTCCATCGCTGTATTGACGTACATCTGTCGAGTAGAGGTGTCGGCGTACAGGTTGGGAGGTTCCACCCGGGAGAGATCTAGACTGTCATAATGGACAGGGTTTGGTGACGTCATGACGGCTTCAGTATACTCTGGCTGTTTCACGAGTGCAAGTCTTCTGCAAATATGATTGTCAAGCTTATTACGGTTGTTGATATCGTTAAGTTTTACCTTGGTGGGCAAAAAGTCATTTACAGGCAAAATATATAGCACAAAAGTAAATAGATCAATTCTAAATGGTGCTATGAAGGATAGCCTGTTAACGTCAAAGGAAATATGTGATAAGTAACATAATTCTGTACCATGTTACTTACTTTCTATAAAGGATAAAATGGACTACCATGGTTACAGTAATCAGTAGTGAGGTTACTACTAGAGGGACGACTACAGCACCTGGAAAATATACATATTGTTGTTATCTGTAACACAAATATTGGCTAAATTTGTTGCATAAAAAGTATACCACCTGAACTATGAGTTAGATCGACATGTTCAATCATTGTCCACAATAAGGAATCTCATTTATTTAACAAGTAACATAAAAAAAATATTTTAACTTTTATTAGCCAATTTTGTTTGCCCGCACGTTAGCGCACGTGGGCTTTAATGTGGAAGGAAACCTGGAAGGAGTACATGAAGAAAACCCACGTGGTTTGGCAGGTGACCCCATATCTTTTAATGTCCGATCAGGGAATCGAACGCAGACCCCCTTTTCGACGACTATCCATATTATTTATTAGAATGTCAGAAACCATACATAAAGTTAAATCCCTCGCCTAAAGCTGTTAAATTGCTCTGATCACAGACGAAAGAATTATCCATGAGTATACTTCGCAGAGAACGATATATAAAGAGACACAATGTGTTACAACGGAGACAACAGGTTAATTGTTGTCCCTACTGTCTCTCCAAGCAAGAAGGCAAATATATATTATATTATATCTTATTATATAGTGGGAAAAGTTCACTTGAAAATATAAGTTTATTTAATAGCTAACAGTTATGAATTGAAATACATACTTAATGGATAACATTGCTGTAAATCGTTTTGTTGAGCGCACTTTTGTCCTAATGTTGTCGATCCAGAATTAGTGCTGTTGTATGTGGTTGTCTCCCTTGACTGAGTGGTTGTCATCCTTGACTGGGTGGTTGTCTCTCTTGACTGGGTGGTTGTCTCCCTTGACGGAAGGGTTGTCTCTCCTGACTGACTGGTTGTTGTCCTAGACTGACTGGCAGTCGTTGTCTCCATTGGACTGGAAATTGTGAGACATGTTGTGGACAACGAAGACCCCGGACCTACCATTTGAAATAGAAATATGTGTAAGCCAAGTTAAATGTGTGCAACTTAGTAAAAGATAAAATACTAGAAAGTACGTTATATAGCTTAAAGGTCACATCCGATATCAAACTTAAAGACCTAGTATCGATATTGCAACGCTCCAAATATTAACTTGCACAAATGATGGGGATGACCTTGTGCAAGTGAATTGGATGGAAGCAAAGAGTAGTTTCTTTGTAACTAATTTTTTTTTAAATATTCAATGAAAATACCAGAACATGACAAAATTCAATAATGTGCTGTATAGATTATATCAGTTAAAGGTCATATCCGATTGAAAGCATGAAACTTGAAATTGAAATTGAAACATAAATAGAAGAATAACACAAATCACTTAACAATAACTTTCGGTAAAATGTATAACATGCAACATCTTAACACATTTCGGGAAACAGTATGACGTACGCATTTAATAAATGTCTACCTTCTCTTTGGGATGGGGAATAGAAATTTGGGGGAAACATATCGACTGATTCCCGAATTACATATGCCTGTAAACATTTCTTAACGGTCTTGTATAAATTATTTATAATAGTGCATTGATATAGGGATCGAATGGATTTTTTTCATGTACACTGCGGCAATGAATAGCAGTAGCTGATCTACATGTCCTGTGGAGCACGTCAATCCTCCTCAGAAGATATGTAGATCAGCTACTGCTATTCATTGCCGCAATGTACATGAAAAAAACCCATTCAAATCATACATTTACGTTACGGTGAAGTACAATAAAAAAGTTACAACTCTTTTTGTATATTTATTATTTTTAATATTAGTATCGGACAGAAAACTATAAAAAGGAACAGCCAGAACTTCAGCCTACACACAAACTTCAAATGTTCAACTTCCGCCGATCAGCTGATATTGTTGAAACGAAAAATATATATCTTATATATATTTAAATAGTGCACCATTTATGATTTTTGTAATGTTTATAATTATTTCTCGCAACGACATTATCTCGGAGAAGGGGAGATAACTCTTCTCAGAAACGGTACTTTGCGTAGTAATATGATTTGTCATTGTGTATGAAATCAGCTGATCGACTTCACGTGAATCGTTGTATTTATAGTGTATTCATGGTCTAATGGCAGTTGTTTTCTATAGGTAGATTCATGTACAGAACAAACATCAATAATGTAAATAAAGGTATCTGTATGAACCTGTGTTAGATATTGTAGTTAAAACCATAAAACAACTCGTTCACAATATCAAACAAACGAGGAAGAAACAAACAAGATAGTAACGTACATGTATATCAGGCTATTGCTATTACGGGAAACGTGTTTCTGCTTTTCATTTAAACTTTTTCAACACTGTTAATCGTTTACATAAATACGACTCACCTGCCGTTAGTGAGAGACAATATTCTGACATACTTCCACTGAGTCCATATTGCCATACAACAGTAACTGTATCATTTGTCTGAACAGCGTTAATTATAGTGTTTCCAACAAGTAAGTGTTTAAAATAACACCTGAGAAAGCTGCTACTTGCGCTGATATGATAATGCTGCTTCCACATCCAGACGGAGGATATAACGACTGGGCAGATCCAAAACCAACAGTAGTCATCGTTCCGCCGGAAAGTCCCGTCAGTGTCGCCATACAGGAGCAGCTGATACTACCGCCATCTTTTCTGTACACAGACGATCCGTACGTGTCTATAACCACGTGTTCACCGATGGCATTAACATCTTCACACATGTTCAGTACTGCAAAAAACAATATTAAATAACAATTTGTTAAAGATACCCGTGCCTCTGCCAAAAACTGTAACTATGCACTAGAAATCGACATTTTACCGGCAAGACTTTATCTATGATGAATCATTTCTAAAAGGAATATAACGACTTTACGTAAAAACAACAGAACAAATAATCAATAACGGTTTAATTTTAAAACTAAAAATTAGCGGAACTATAGACCGGGATTCGAACCATAAGACTCAACGAATATACCTCGGCCCAGTTGTACTTCAGTTATTTCCATGGAATATTTAAGTATTATCGTAAAACGTGTTATTTACGCGGGCTGAAACTTTCACGATTTTGACCGATATTTGGAAAATTTTATTTAGACGAACTATAATTTCGCGATCTAGACATATGAAAGAACTACATTTTCGCGGTGTTTTAGCACAGAGACGGGACACTCGACATATAAAGTTTCAAATATACAAGGAAAGGCTTTTTGACAGCATATTGAGCACACCAAGAACGTGTATACTGTTAAAAACATCATCAACAAAACTATTAGATGGGATATAACCTATTATGTACATTTGTATATGAATCGCCACAACCACATACTTACTATTTCATGACAACATAACGATTATGAAGTTTAAAATCGCGGCTAAATTTTACACTTATCATATTTTCTATAGATCATATTACCGCGACCACGTTAATTATAGACCAACGAAATCGAAAATATATCATCCCCGCAGAAATATCCTAATATATGGTAACATATATTTATAAGACAGACATTCAGTGATCAATTCTTAAAGTGTCTGCCTAGCGTTCTATATATTTGATGAACGTGACTCTAGATAAAGCATACAACCAACTATTAAGACCCTTTTAAGAGATGCAACACGAGTTACTTTCGGAGAAGAACCACAGCTATCAGCACGCCGGGGTTCTAACGCTGAAGAGAAACAAATATACCTGAGGACCTTACAATTATGTCTGATATACACAATGGCCTAAAATCATACCTCTGGTAAGTCAGTTTTTCGTGAACTTATTTATTTATTATTAATTTGGTAAAGTCAGATATCGGTTAATGTATGTGACAGTAGAGTGAGGTATTGGTCAACTTATGTGTCGGTAAAGTTGGTATAAAACCAGGTTTTAGCACACTGTCGGTAAAACCATGTTTTACTGAAAAAGGCTAATAGAAGAATAGTGTTTTAAACTCCTCTGTGAAGAAAAATCAATATAAGATAATATTACATTATAACGACGTCCTTATAAACAACATTTTATATTAATATACCAACACACATACGTATAAATCAAACGGAAATGTCATATACTTTGAAACGACTTTGGAATGTCGTTCATCCCGAGTTCTACCAGTTTGATTTTGTTTGCAAAAACCTTTGAGAACGTATATTTTCGAAACCTTCTGTTGGGAAATTTAGGTAGAAATCAGTTATTACCGGTGGTTCCATCTGTAACGGCTTCAGAACAAACAGTCCCAGCTGAATCTGTCGTAAATAAGCACACGATAAACGTTAAACAAGCAGATTTTCATTAACAAAACATTTAAGAAGCAAATAATGGATAAGAGTCATCTCTCTTTTCATAAACTTCTTAAATTATATACCTCAAAGAGTAAACATTATAATAATAGCATTTATGTTTTTTTTTTGTATTCGTTAAAAATAGATTTTATTTTAATTATACTAAAATTGGCTTCACAAAATTTTCATATCTTATTAAGCCATTGATTAACCATAATATATGGAAGTAATAGAGAGGGAGGAGAGATGGAAGGAAGGAAAGGAAGTAGGAAAGGGAAAAGGAGGACGGAGAGAAGAATTTTTATTAGAACCGGTGCTACAAATTACGTATTTCGAAAGAAAGAAATGGTAGTTGATTACAGGATGCATTTTATGATATTTCGCCAATAAATGACAAACATCTTTTAAAAACATACCAAAAAGTACTATTTTTGCATTCAATTTCACCGAAAGAGAGTTGCAAAAAGTTATCCAAAAGCTATTTATCTATTTACTCAAATAAGTTCCACTTCAGTTACAAATGCCACAAAACTCATGTTCTGGGTTACGTATATCAGTAAAATAAATTTCACATACATTCACACCCATATATATTAATACAAATCAATGGAGAAGGATTATCTCTCTTTTCATAAACTTCTTAAATTATATACCTCACAGAGTAAACATTATATAATAGAATTCATGTTTTTTTGTATTTCTTAAAAATAGATTTTATTTTAATTATACTAAATTGGCTTTCACAAAACTCATTTTCTGGGTTACGTATATCAGCAAAATAAATTGTACATACATTCACACCCATACAAATGTTATATATATATATATAACAAATACAAAGAGTTTCTTAGCACCTCGATAGCGCTTTCACCTCTAACAAATACAAAGAGTTTCTTAGCACCTCGATAGCGCTTTCACCTCTTTAGAGGTTAATCAAGGGAACTGTTTATAGATATAAAACAAATACAAAGGGTGTCTTAGCACTTCAATAGCGCTTTCAACTCTTTAGATGTTTATCTTTTTACCGTCACATGGAAATTTAAAACTATTTATCGCTATATATATATATAACAAATACAAAGAGTGTCTTAGCACCTCCCTATCGCTTTCACCTCTTTAGAGGTATCATATTTATATATATATATATGACCAGGCCACCTGATTCATACAGCTTTTATAACCAGGCCAGATTCTCTGTAATGGAATACACTTACCTTTAAACAAATTCACCAATGTAGACACAAATACCAAATATCACAAGGTCATTTCGTCCTCTGTTGTTAACTGTAAATTAACCAGCACAAAGTGTCAAAATTTCTTATTTCGTCATTAATATAGGATAAGACTTAGGCGACCTACTTTGAACACTAATCAAGCAAATCAATACTTCGACTATTCGACCCAGACTCTTGGTTGAAACATGGCTATATTTGTATTTAATTTATAAACTGTTTACATTTCTGCGACTAATCCTTAAGAAGGCAGTCACTTAATCATCGGGCGACTTACGTTGTAAAAGAAAATGACAATTATAGTAAATGCTCAATTCAATAAGCATGGTCGAGGTCTTCGGTATTTTTTTATTTTTTATTCTATTTGTAATATATTTTTGCGATTTTGTGTTGATATACATTACGCATTTACAAGTTACAGTTGGACTTTTACTTTTATCTATTCTTCTGAATAAACCTCCAAAAATGACTGATTAATATTAGTGTTTTCTATATAGCACAGGTTCATCAACACCAAGATATACATACAACCTAGGAGACTGGTTATGTCTTGCTAACCACCCATATATCCGTAGGGACGATGCTATTTAGGTTCAGGTAATGATTTAACGCCCATTTTCTAAATTGAAAATGAAAATGAACAAGGAAGTTTAATTATGTTCGCTTCGTATAGTCTACAATTTAAATATAGCACCAATGGGTTTTTTCAATCAAAAACCGGTTTGCCGTCTGTCAACTGTCTTTAGGTCTATTTACTGTTCATACAGTGCCTTACCTAACTGTATTCAGAGCGTACCACATAGTGACATGTTATTAGCATGTTTACATTCAACTTAGAATTGTAAAGGCGATCGGTAAAGTCACATTATAGAAGATATATGTGCTAGTCATAGGCTAATAGATTGTATTTGTCTTCTGCATAAAAAAATGTATGTATGAAATATGCATAGGCCATTAAAGTGTATTTGTCTGTTTAGCAAAAGATTTAGTGACAATACAAATGATGTACAACTCCTTTGCAAAAAGAGTATCTTAACTTAATCAGTGATGGATGATACGCAATCAGAAATATTTCTTAAATGATATAAGAAAACAAAGACTCGGTCACGGTATGTTACCAGAAACATTGCTTGAGGTCTACCAACATCAATATTAGATGACATAATTTTTCTACATCCCTCTTTGTTGACTCATTATCACGTAGAGGAGGTCATTTGTGATATTGACTCTGTGTTTTTATTTTTAGAAACATCAGGTCAATATTCACTTCACGACGTCACCTTAATTTTATCGCCACAATGTTTTCTGCCAAATGCGGTACCTTTCTCGATACGATTTGCTTACCGTTTGTCTTCTTTTATGATAAATCGTCAAAATTTCATATCTGATATAACAATTAAGGTAGGCGTTTTATTTTGGTGAATATGTCGTTATATTGACGTGAGATGTGATACGGATCTTGATTTCGTCTTGGTGAATATCGTTTTCTCAGTATCATATAACCACACATTTAAAGTACATGTCAATTGTGTAGAACGTTAACACTTAACACTTTTTAATGTAGAAAAAATTTATATGTATTCTCGTTGTTATAAAATGTGCATATCTGATATACTGAAAAGAGTGACTTTATTCTTCACAATACGTATGTAAGCACATGCAATATTAAAGATATTATCTAACACAATTTACACGGCAATACAGAAGGAAATAGAAATATGAGCTCCAAAACCAATTACACTCCACCCATGAAATCGCATTCATAACCTGTCTTTTTATAATGACCAGTAAACAGGCAATGTAATGCAACGTAAAGGAAAGTACAATCATCTCTACATAAGAATAGGAATACCTTGTATTATATCAATAATGAAGACAGTGCTCTGTTTAGACAGGAAAAAGTAAATACCTTTTAGTAAGAACGTTTGACAGGCAAACATGAATATATTTCTATAACATTTGTAGAAGGTGTCTTTGAATAAAATAATCAATCAGTCTTGGTAAAGTTGACGTGTATGTGATCACGGAAGTAAAACCGTGAATTTTTAAAGGAATTTCCGACCTTGGACAACTACGTTGACTCAAACATAAGGCCATTGGTTGGTGTCTGTCGCGAATGAAGTGTTTACTCAATGCCCTGTAAGTTATAACTGGTCTGACCGGATGGGTAGGTTCTAAAATAAGATAAATACATATAGCTTTTATGTTTTCGTGGAACATTGAGTGTACAACAACATAAGCCTAATTTTTCAGCGCTGAACAGACCAGGAAGCTTCGGAATATAGGATTGTTACTCTCTGCCCTGCTAGAAAGGACAAAATGATTGTATGGAACCTGGTCTTAGTGTTGATATTGATGAGTTTATTTAAAGGTAAGTGTGTTCTTTTTTCAAGAGGGAGAGTGCTATAATTGTATATATGGATGGTGTATATCTGACATGATGCTATCGATGACTCTCAATACCTCGGTCTTGGGAGATCAAGAGGGCCTAGTAAGTTATAAGAACTTGTGCCCAATTCCTTTGACTGTGTAATGTCAACAAAGCATGTTTAAATGAGTCAATGACACTTATATTAAAGCAGTAAATACAAAAAGGAAGGGTTACGAGATCTCGTGAAAGTTTGGCAAAACTTTCAATAGACATTTTCTGTATGAAAGGTTACAGAAAAGTGTTAACGAATACAAAAAAAAGCATATATCAATACATACTTGCATAAACTTGTTTCATATAAGTATTTCTTACCGAATATTTAGTCAGGCTCTATGCCATCGTAATTATCCAGCAATATTTATTATTTGTATTGATTGAGATAAGTTTTTTTCAACTGTCAATTTCACTGACATACTGGTCGGTAGAAAATGGAGGGTGGGGGTTGAGGGTTGGTTGGTATCAAATATCATATCAACCTCAATCAACCTACAATATTACAAAAGCGATGTGCAATAGACAATGCCTGGAATGATAGTACTGTATTATACCTCTGTATGCATGTATGTTCACGTGCTTACTTTAGCAGGTATATTAATGAAGTTTATATATCACATGGTAGCTTTCATCCTTGCGTGTTTGTTGGAACTTTTATGCAACAAAAATAATCAATATATTCCTTCTAATTAGATAGGAACCCATTGTTAAGATATTACAAAAAAAATGTTTTATTGTTTATAGCAGGTACAGCCGACACTGTATGTTCTCAAGCTGCTACAGATGGAACTACCGGTAAATATAATTATATTTATTTCTGTATATACATTAAAAATACCTTATAATAAGCTAAATTTGATCAGCATTTTACAAAACAAGTTCAATTTCTATATCAAAATTTTAAAATTCATACTAAATCAGCCAGCAATGACAAGAAACCCAATACCACAATCATCGTTATGATGTAGTTGATGAGAGCGTTTAAATAACCTCGAATATGTATTCATAAGAAAGCATGGTTATATTTACATTCAGATGTTGACATTTTGTCTTCACAGTAACGATGTGTGAAGGTGGTAATGCCGTCGGTGATCACGTGGTTATAGATACGTACAGATCGGCTGCGTACAGACAAGATGGCGGTAGTTTCAACTGTTTCTGTACGGTGACACTGACGGGACTACCCGATGGAACGATGACAACTGTCGGATTTGGATCTGTCCCGTCGTTATATCCTCCGTCTGGTTGTGGAAGCAGCGTTATTATAACAGCGCAACAAGCAGCTTTCCAATCTAGTCAACCAAACATTCACATGTGTGCTGTAAAAAACAATACATTTAACGCTTTTCAGACAAACGATACATTTACTGTTGTATGGAAGTCTGGAGTCAGTGGAAGTACAGCAGGATATTGTCTTTTATTCATGGCTGGTAAGTCGTATTTTATGTCAACAACTTACCAAGTTTCTGAATTTTACGTAATATGCAGAGATTTATTTACTTGCAGTACGAACAGCAGAGGATAGAATTCATATCCACGCCTCGGTGTTTCATCATGATGTACATGTTTATCTCATGCAATATAGAAATACGACATTAGTATATGGGCATTATCAGTAACAACAGATGCATTGGTTTTGTTTGCTGTACATTTTATAGAGGGTCCCAAACGAAGGATTATTGGTTGTGATGTTTCTACGAGGCTTACAGAGTTTATTTCACCTTTTGCAAAATAGCTGATCAGAGTAAAATAAACCTGATAATTAACAGTCACAAGTTTGAGGATTGTTTTCAAATTATAACTAGAAAATCTCATCTTTCTCTCTGGAATACATTTTTTCTTGCTTCCGAAAGGGGAAAATCGCCATGAAATATGATGTCACAATAAAAGAAGACGTCGCAAAGTAGTGTTTCTTGACATCATAAGTAGATGATTGGCCAATAAAATAACGTCTACTGTTTACCGACTACTAGTGGCTAACCAAAACAGTTAACTAACTCCCAGGTTTACTCAATGGGTCAAAAGTGAGGAACCCTATACCGGTTGTGGGAGAAATATCAATTTATATACCACGCAGTGTTTCATCGTTTTTGTTACGTGAAGCAGATAGTGCAAATTATTCATTGTATAAACCGGAAGTTATTCGAAGTGTGGTGTCGTAAGAATAAGTACAGAGATGTTCTTATCATGACACCCTTTTGTTGAATCTCGACAGAATTACAATTACATTGAATTATATGTTATCATTGTTGAATATGTTTCAGTGTATATTGATTGTGTATAATGATTCTCCAGCGTTGTCCATTGATTAAGTGTGTTTTTCTGCAAACGTTATAGGCCCGGGGTCATCCTTGTCAACCAAATGTAATCCTGCCGTCAACACCACAACATCACCAACATCTCCTAGTACAGCGCCATCAACAACAACTCCTAGTACAGCGCCATCAACAGCAACTCCTAGTGCAGCGCCATCAACAACAACTCCTAGTACAGTGCCATCAACAACAACTCCTAGAACAGCGCCATCAACAACGACTCCTAGAACAACAGCACCACCAACTAGTACAACGGTGATGGCGTCATTGATGACGACACCTAGTACAACAACTACAACCAATCCTACAACTACCATCACGTCTACTATTGGTGGCGGAACCAATGGTGGGGGAGCCACTACGTCGTCAGAGAAGCCTACTATGAGTCCAGAGGCTACTACAATGGCGGATAAGATTAAAAACAAGAATTTAGACAGTAATTTTATTATTTTTTCAAGTATGTGAATGTATATTCTCCTATAGTATGCTGAATTATATGTTAGACTTTTGTTATATATTAGGGTTTTTTCGTCAGAGGCATTAGCACTGTTTTGGAATTTCCTTCGCATATTTGGGATATCCTACGTATACGCGTCATTTCATTCATACAGTGCAGAGTGAATGTTGAGCTGGTTTTGGTCTGTTTATAACACAGCTTTTATAAAATTCGAATTGATCTTTAGACAGGAACGAAGGATAGTACCTTCCATATAGCTGAATAGCTACTTTAGATGAAATCGTTAAACACAATTTGTTTTGTTTCAATTTAAGGAAATTATACATGAAATCGCGAAAACACATAAAACACGGAACGAAATACACCCAATTTATAGAATATTATAAAATAGCCTCTACTTGATTAGTGTCCTATCCAAATTAACATTAAATTGCATTATCTAGGAATTATTTTTCGTTGATCAATCTCGGCTACATGCACCTCGCGGATTTACAAACGCTATTTTTAAGCTAAACGTAATGTAGATCAGGATAATATGCTACAATGATAAATCTTCATATGTTGTACGCGATCTCATAGTAACACATTTATTTCAGACTAACAAGAGCATTCGTGAAACACCGCCAGAGGTATCTCTTGTTTACAATCAAAGCATAACTTTCCCTTTTACTTTCATGTATTTATATATTTAAATAAAAGTAAGGTAATAGGTTTACATAAATTAACACCCTTGATACAACCAATACAGACAAACATATTTATATTTCTATGTACAATTGTTAAATGCATAATTACACAAGAAATACCTCTGTTAATAAATTTCAAGTATGACATACTTGGTATGTAAGTACTGATAGTCATTAAGTTCTCGTTGCTGTGCATGTATCTGTCTTTGTATCATTTCAGCTACGGTCATTATCGCAATAGCTGCAGGGGGCGTGGTCTTCCTTATAATCTGCATTGTCATTGCGGTCATGTGTTCAAGGTTTGTATTTCTAATACGGTAAATAGCTATAGGTTAACAGGAACGGAATGGTATTAGTTTGTTTAAATTGTTATTAAACAAAGTCATCACATGCCATCAATAAAAAATCACATATATGTAAATATAACATTTAATTAACAAACTGTTTCTATGTTTTAAATGATAAAAGATAATAAGTGGACTTTTCAGGTTTTTAATACATGTAGATACATATTCTCAATGTGATCAAATCATTTTGACATTATTGTCCACAATAGTGAAAGATGTTGGTTGCAGGGCCTAGGCTCAATGACTTAGGGGATAGTATGGAACAGTAATCTGTGTTTTATGTCATGTTATGTAGAATAAAATAATTTAAATTTGGAATATGCTTTGATATAAACATCATTCTTCATAACTCTTTGTGACTAGAATGTTAATATAATTAAATTTAATAATTGAAAATTTTTGCAAATGCATTTTAAAAGATTTTGGATTTCTCAAGTCTAATTCAATCACCAATCACATCGATATGTGCATTATATTTTTCAGAACAAAAAGAAAATCAAATGAACACAGGAAAACTGGAACTGCTGTAGCCCATAATGTCTTGTATGAAGCAACAAGAGCACATTCACCGGATGCAGCAACCAATCATGTGGTGACCCCTAGCAGCGATATATACGCACAGGTCGAAAGGCATTCGAAGGTCGAAACAACGAATTCAAAAGAGCAGTCTCATGAGCCGGAACAGGAAATAGGTCATGTGGCGACACCTAGTGGTGATATTTATGCACAGGTCGAAAAGCATTGGAAGGTCGAAACAGCGGTTTCTAAAAAGCGGTCTCATGAGCCGGAACAGGAAATAGAACATGTGACGACACCTGGTGGTGATATGTATGCACAAATCGAAAAGGATTCGAAGGTCAAAACAACGAAATCAACCAATCAGTCCCATGAACCAGAAGAGGAAGTAGAAATTGTGATGACACCTAGAGGTGATATTTATTCACAAGATGGGAATAAGTCAGATGCTAGTGTGTATTTCTAATGAAATGTTCAAATGATGAGCTACTAAGGACACAAGCAAATTTAATCATGGTGATGGTTTTAAGTCAAGCTAACGTCAGTATATAAAGAGAAATGCATCTAGACCGCCCATCAATTAGACTTGCTCAAGATTTCTAGAGCTAAAGATTGATGGATACAATACTTGTCAGAGAAGATCATTTAACATTGAAAGAGAAGTATTCAGTGCCACAATAAAAAATACTTCATTAATACATGTAATATATATTCATTTACATATTCATTTCAATAGTCCACGAATAGAAACTGTCAAATGACAAACTGTGTTAAAACATAATGTCATTTCATCATTTCGCTTTTATAAAATTATATATAAATTTCTTTTGTGTAATTCTTCTTTTTTGTGCTGTAAATTCCTTATGATTGTTTCATAAATGTTTGTACTGTTATTTTAGATTATGCTATATTAGCATGTATTCTGTCAATTTTAAGTTTTTGCCATGTTGGCATCTATGTACATTAGACTGAAACGTCTCTTAAATTAATTTATATGCTGCAAGAGCTTTATGTTTGCATGACCTTTATTCTTTCCGTGCTATTTTACTTTTTATTCGACTATCTGCGATGCATGCTACCTTTGTGATATTTTGTTGTTTCTGTTAATCTTGATTGTTATATATAGTCGTAAGAATAGCTCTTCTGAGCTAAAGTTGCATTGTTACAAACACGACTCTAAATAAATATTCTTGTATCTTGTATGTTGTATGTTGTATGTTGTATGTTGTATGTTGTATCTTGTATGTTGTATTTTGTATCTTGTATGTTGTATGTTGTATGTTGAATGTTGTATCTTGTATGTTGTATTTTGTATCTTGTATGTTGTATCATGTATGTTGTATCTTGTATGTTGTATGTTGTATGTTGTATCTTGTATGTTGTATGTTGTATGTTGTACCTTGTATATTGTATGTTGTATCTTGTATCTTGTATTTTGTATATATATATATTAAGGCCTTGTCCCAATGCACTCATGCTTTGAACTTCTTTATAGTATTGATTTTTGTTTCTATTAGTACAATTATTAATATCTTATTATCCGTACAATAATAAGAATGATCGGACGAACTATTTTGTGATTAGAATGAAAATATTTTGATTATCTTAAGTTAGTGCTTATGTGTTGTATTAAAATATTCTTGAACCTATATATGTACATTGTACTTCTTAGTTTTTAGTGATGAAAATATCATGTAATATGTTCATAATATTGCCTACCTGTTAATATATGTTAATGATGACCTTGTATTACACATATAGAAATGTCAAAATGAAAATAAAAACCCTGATTTGTTTTAATGTCAAATTGTTTCTGACACCTAATACCTAATAATATTTAAAAACAATACGCATGCAAAACAAGTGAAACATTCAGCCCTTCGTTCTTCACATCTCCTGCATTTATTACTATCATTATGTCCATTTCAATACAAGAGACGGGAAGTGGGCGACAATTTTATGAAAGTGCTAATTTAAATTTCAAATTAATTATTTAAATATAGCGCAAATTTCGGGTATAGTTTCCTTTAAAATTATTCGTTTTGGAACGTTTATAGTGTTCTGTAACGTATGAAAATCGATAAAGTTGGTCCAGTCTAATTTGCTTACATATTAGATTTAATTTGCCTCAAGTAATATTAAGTTCAGTTAACCAGGTAAACTGTGATATTCGCATTTACAGACTTACTAATAAATACGATTTTTTTTTTTTATATGGGATATGACACAATTGCTCTAACCCATAAACCCGTATCAGCCCGCAAAACCCGTGTCACACCCCTTTTGGAACACTTCTAATTTTTCCCATCTACCACCAACAACGTCGTTGGGAAGCCTTGTTTACCAACAGTTAAACAATAACTGATGCTGAAAAACGGCGACAAATTGGGGAGCGAGCATTGGAGTCTCTCTGCCAATAGGATTCTTGAGTTAGAATATCTGATTGAGCAACAGAACACTAAAACCATTGTGCCGTCAGAGCTGTCTGTCGTCATCGGTACGATTCACGATGTGGCGGCAGAGGGAGCAGAGCCTAAAGCTCTCATCGTTACAGCTGCAGCAGTCGACACCTGCGGCTTTGTTTCAAGCATGAGGAACAAGAATACAGTCAGAATGACCGAGTCTAACGTGAGAAAATTTAAGGCATTTCCTTTGGTAACCAATGACACGTGGTATCCAGAAGCAATTCCAAAACAGGAATTAAATAATACTTGCAAGGTTTATCGTTTTTCAATGATTCAAAAGAAAAATAGATCATAAGATAGTAGATTTATCCGTATTTTATTAGTAAGTATGAAATAAACAGAATAAACATGCCTTTTACCATATCACACCGAGTTTCAACCGGACACCGATATCAGTCCTCGTATCATTTTCTTGATATTCATTTTCACAAAATGCAGACTAAACTACTTGATTTTTGTGCACAATCTGAATTACGGTTGGAGTTTAAGATTAAATTAGTTTTAATAAAGCAGATTCGTTTCATGTATGGCAATCCTCGATACTCCATGGGTTACGCTCACCCCTGGAATATGTCCTGACACAATCTAAGGGTCAATGTGCGCCACCTTGTGGACGAAACATATTCAAGGGGTGCAGAGAGCGAAAGTAAAAAATGTCATATAAAAATAACCGGGGGAAAAACCTGGAATCAATGTTGGCATTGAGTCTGTAAATGAAAATAATTGTTGTTTTTTAATCTGTTTGAGTAATCACAAAAAATAGTTTCTTACAAAAAACAATCTGTTGTTTCCCTAAATAAACATATTCATCCCCGAACTCTAAACTCAGACTATGCATTGTGTATATGAGAGTCACATTTGAGTCATAACGTCATTATCCAATTAAAAAGCGACTTTTTGTCCTTTAGAAATGTATTGATAACGTTGTTGATAACGACGATCAGTGAAAAGTTGTTTGATGTGTGCTTAACTGTATTTATAATACTAGTAGACGATGTCTTATTAGTAAGTAATATTAAGCTCACGAGTTCACATTACAAAGATATGTAATATGTATCTCATCAAATTGTTCAACTTTGGGGACGACATCTAATATTTGTATTGCACTATATCTGCATCTGCAGATGCAACTATACTATCTATATGATACACTCATTGTGATTAGTGTTTTTTTTAAATTTATAGCAAATATTACCATTTAATTTTAAAATTCACAATTTTCATTCTTGATTACGAATATACATAAAATTCCACCGGATTATTTGCTACCCCAGATGTGTGTACTATGTATCACGTATTTTGTGACAATATCACTTTTTCTTTTTAGCTTCGAAACAACTAAGTAGCGTTTCTTGTATGTTTATATAACACTGTTCCTTGGCAAATACACGTAAAAACAATAATATAGTGTTATATTTACATTTGCGCTGCAACCCACTATATAAAGATTACCAGCAGTAATCCATTTCATTTGGGTATGAAAGCAAAAACTCTTGTGACGTAGCACGTGGTTTACATATCTCAAATATAGCAGTTGGCAGCTTACAGCCTCACGGAATAAACAATAATTATAAAATAATATAATATAGGCTTTATTTGTTCTTGATAACATATTGAGCATGAAGCTCATCTTATATATGGTCAAGATACAGTATATGATATAATGTACAATATTTACAGCTTTAAGAAATATACATGTATAAGAAGAATTCATAAATCATTTCGAGTAAAATTGCTTTGCAGATCTCTTAAATTCTAAAAGAACAATTTCTAATATCACTCGGTAAAAGATTCCATGTAAGGGGTCCCTGATATCTAAAAGATTTTCCAAAAATGTTTGTCTTATGACATGGCAAGTAAAACACATTGGTAGATGATGATCTTGTAGTTCTACTCTGAACATCCGACATATACGTAAAATCATTCAAATTTTGCGGAGCTAAATTATTAAGTATCTTGTACATAAAAACCACTTGATTGTATAACATTCTTTTGTGAAAAAAATAAACATACCTGCTGTGAGACTTTGAAAATTCTTTTTCTTTCAACTACACTTATGGTATATCATACATTATATTGGTATTCCAAATATCTTTTATGTAATATTCTGCCGTATAAAAGGTCAGAATTTCGTGTAAGTCATACTGGCAATTTTACTATTTTATCAAAACCGTTATCATGGAACTGGGTCAAATGCAACTAAATATTGATTATAGCGTGAACAATGAATTGTAACTCCAGGCCGATAGGAAGAAGCAACAACAGAAATTGATCGGATATCAGTTAAATCAAAACTAAAAGAAAAATCAGAATCCCCCTAGAAAAATATCGATGGTAAATTTGATCGCCTTTGAGTTTCTATCTTGTCTTCGTGTATTGACGCTGTGGTGTGTTTCTTTTTCACTTGTTAACCCTAGCACTTCCATATTCCCAGATTTATGGTTTTGTAACAATGGTCATGGTACACTTGCTGCACCAAAGAAATTACAAACTTTATTTCTTGGTATCAATATTAACAGTTGGAAATTACAGGTTCGTATTTCTGTCCACCATTCGCAACGTATACAGTAAAACCTAGATAAAATGCCACTTATTTCATTGGCCACCCCGTTTACTGCCAATATATTTCACACTTCCCTCAATCTATTGTCAAGCCCTTTTATAATGCCAATACTTCTCTGGAATAATGGTGGCATTATAACGAGGTTTTGCTGAACACCAACTTAAACAAATCTGTAGTACACGAAAGAAGTTAGGGCTGACTAAGAACCAAAGTGGTAATAATGTTCAAATATGTACAAGTTTATATATATTCTAAATACATTTTTTAACGCAAATTACAATAAAGTCACAAATTGTTTGTAATATTTTTCAGCAAACACACATTGCCAATTTAAATATTTATGTTCATTCTAAAATTTCGTAAGGAGTAACAAGCATTATCCATACAATCCAATCAACAATGTTGAAATATTTTCATTGTATTACTACGCTTCCCTTTACGTAATCTGACACGTCGTGTCTGTCCTTATGTAGAAATGTTCGTTAGGTAAAGTTATTCATAATCAGTGTATGCATCATTTACAATAATTGATTCCACCTTTAGATTTAACATTATTATCTTTACGTATTTCTTAGAAGAAATTGTGTCCGATGTTATTCCATAAAGCAATACACTATTTACTTAAGAGATTCAAATACTTACTATGAACATGACATATCACCAAAACAGTTGTCTCATTTTTTGTGGTCTAATGAAACATTGTGCAGAAGCAATACACAAAACTTCACTTAGACCATTCAGATCCTATATATATATAAACCATGATATAAAACAGAGACCACAATGGAATTTCGTTTGTCTGATGAAAGGATTTGGGGTGAACTTCTGGTGTACAGAATATGAATATGTGGTATTTATGATTCCATCGCTGTATTGACGAACATCTGTCCAGTAGAGGTGTCGGCGTACAGGTTGGGAGGTTCCACCCGGGAGAGATCTAGACTGTCATAATGGACAGGGTTTGGTGACGTCATGACGGCTTCAGTATACTCTGGCTGTTTCACGAGTGCAAGTCTTCTGCAAATATGATTTTCAAGCTTATTCCGGTTCTTGATATCGTAATGTTTTACCTCGGTGGGTAAAAAGTCTTCAAAAGGCAATGTAAATATCAAAATGTATATAGGAATTTGATCTCAAATCAGTTCAAATACAGAACTTGATAATGAAAATGATACGAAATTATTTAATTATTTTCGTCAATGTGTAGTTAATTTCAAAACAGATACCATTGAGAAAAAGTGTCATAAATAGATCAAGTATCCATTCTAAATGGTGCTATGAAGGATAGCCTGTTAACGTCAAAGGAAATATGTGATAAGTAACATAATTCTGTACCATGCTACTTACTTTCTATAAAGGATAACATGGACTACCACGGTTACAGTAACCAGTAGTGAGGTAACTACTAGAGGGACGACTACAGCACCTGGAAAATATACATATTGTTGTTATCTGTAACACAAATATTGGCCAAATCTGTTGTATAAAAAGAATACCACCTGAACTATGAGTTAAATCGACATGTTTAATCATTGTCTACAAAAAAATGTTTTTTGTTTATTTAAAAAGTAACATGAAAGAAGTTATTTTGACTTGTATTGGCCACTTTTGTTTGCCCGCACATTAGCGCACCAGGTTCTTAATGTAAACGGAAACCGGAGTACAAGGAGAAAACCCACGTGTTTGGGCAGGTGACCCCATACCTTTTCACGTCTGATCAGGGAATCTAACGCGGACCCTCTTTTCGACGGCTACTGATATTATTTATTAGAATATCATAAACCATACATAATGTTATATTTCTCGCCTAAAGCTGTTAATTTTCTCGCATCACAGACGAGAGAATTATCCAAGTATTTGTTTGCAGAGAACAATATATAAAGAGACACAATGTGTTACAACGGAAAAAGCAGATTAATATTTCCCTGCTGTATCTCCAAGAGAATAGAAGGCATATATATATAAACAAACCTCTAATTATATAGTGTCAAAAGTCCACTTGAAAAAATANCTTGGGGCCTGATGGTTAGATGTTTAGGTGGCAGAAGTTTCAAAAGTTTTATGTGTGGCTTGAGAAATATATATAGATGTGAAATGTATAAAAGAAAAAAAAATTAAGTCTGTTTTTGACTGGGGGAGTTTATTAAGTGTGTAATTTGTTGTAAATGTTGGTCAATTTTTGGTGTCGAATTCAATACAAAATGGCGGCCCCCATATAAAAAAAGTTCAAATAGGTAGATTTTTAAAACTTCTTTTTTTACAGGTGTGTGAAATGACATTCTTCAAAATGATGTCAGGTGAACCAGTGTGGATAACTCCATTTAACCAGGACAGTGGTAAACGTTAACACTATCGTCTATGGAAAATCATTTGGTTCCGCGGTCCCTACACCCATCTTTAAAGCCCAAAAACAAAAGATTCAAATATCCCTACCTCCCTACCGTGACGTAACCCATATCTCGATGACAGAGCCACAGAGTGATCTCCCTTCCTCTTCCTTTTATGACGCCTGCTGCCTGCTGACGGCCTGGAGCTTGCACCATATCAAAACTTTGTTTTGTCGGTTTGGTTTGAGTGTCAACTCAATTTATTGCGCAGAGTGTGTGCTTTATATCCATATGCCCTTATTACTATAATCATTTGTTGTTGAAAATTATTTTTGTGCCTTTTACGGCCGGTTATTTTACTCGACGTGTGCCGGTGGTGTGCCACGCGGTCCGCCATTATTGTGTGAAATTTTCCGACCTCTGTTTATTTCAGTGACGGTTGTTTGTTTCGGCAAACGTTATTTATTTTAATCGTTTTCTGATTTATATTACGGGTGAAATTCTTTCTACGTTGCGTACCTTGTACTATCGTATTTTATTATTTTTTCTCGTGTTTATCTGCTTGTAAACTTTGTTTGACGACAGACTTTCTTTCGGGATTGTCTGTGTCTACCAGGATTAGTGACGCGCAGCTCACTAATCCCGGCATCAATACTGGTCAAGCTAACCTTCCCGGTCAGTTACCCGGACCCGGTCCTATTAGGTCCGGCCCGGAGTTTCATTCGACCGGGAACCTTGGGGGTTCCCCCCAGGTGTTGGGTTTGCTGGACATGGGGCCGGGTTCCGGCCTCCGTTTTCCCCTGGCTTAGGGTATACGGGTGCCTGCGGGCAACCATCCTTGGGCCACCCTAACCAGCCTGCGGATGGTTATGGGTTGCGGCAGCATCCCGGCAGTTATGGGCTTAGCCCGTACATGTCCGGCTTTCCACCTGGAGGGAGTGGCGGTCCATCTTCGCCCTTTGGGCAAGATGGCCAGCCCCAGTCTCAAGCAGGCCAGTTTGGCCAGTTCTGGGGTCACTCCCAACCCGCGGGACCTTTCCCTTATCCTCCGGGATATGGGTTTAGCCCCATGGCTTTTCAGTCATGGAATCCTTGGGGTTTGGTTTCTCCCTCACGGAGACGTGTTAGCAGTTTTGTTGAACCCCCCCCCCCCCCCCCCAAATGGTCTGCTACTTCGGGGGCCTTATCGGCCGGTCCTAAGAAGGTGTGTCGGACCTTCAGGACTTCTGCCTCTCAGGCAGACTGGTTGGTCTCTGGGTCCAAGGGTAGGGTTTTGGCTACTAAGATTAAACCTACAGCCACGGTCGTTAGGCGCACTGCACCTAAACGCCGTTATGGGAAGCCTTCTCTCTGGCTGGCCCATTTCCTCCGCCCGAGGCTTTTGGTCTGGCTGGTGTGGAGGCTATGGCAGAGGACGATGATGTTGTTCATTTTTCTCCTGGTTGCTCGGATATAGACACTGGTCTTTCCGAGTCGTCTGTTGACGGTCCTCAGGAGGGCTTGCCCTCTGAGGAGGATGTCCAGGATGAGGGTGACCCTGAGGATGCTGAGGTTTAGGCCCAGCATGTGTTGTCCGGTATGCGGGGCCTTAGGGCCGACGTTTCCCGGATTGGGGAGGAGGTTTGCCCACCACCTTCGGCGTCATCTGTCCCCGAGTCCACCACCCTATTGGGTTCTTAGGTGGCTCCTTGGGTGTCCGCTCGGTCGGACCGCTCTCTGCCAGAAGGCATTATTGTGTCTTCATCTCTGGCCACCGCTCAGTCTCGGGTTTTAGAGAAGAATTCTTCTTCAACCCGTAGTCCTGGGTATGCTGGGTTGCAGCTCAGTGTTGGCGATTTGTCGGAGGTGCACGCCACTGACTATGCCACACATGATGGCCTGCTTGATCCTCAACCAGCTAAGCTGAAATCGAGGGAACTTGCAGCCTGGCCCGGTAAATCGGTGGACCAAGTGGTGTTCTGTCCCAAAGAACACCACAAAATGGAGATGCGTCTCTCCATCCAGATGCTGTCTTATATAGACTACCTGACGGTTTGTCTATATAGGGTATCCGACTTGCCTGAGGGTCGGCCAACATCCAGGACAGAGTGGCCTCTGCCCTGAACGGGGCATTGAGAGCGCTGGCAGCTTTACAGGTGTCATCGCTCGTCAATGTCTTGTTGGCTAGGCGGTTTTCAGTTTTGAAAAAACGTCCAGTCGATGAGCCTTACCGCTCCAGATTGTTGACTGCCCCCTTCTCAGGGTCCACTCTTTTGGAAGGGGCCTTCCTTCTGTTCAGAAGGATTTGAAGGAGGACTCGGTCGCCTCTGCACTTCTGGTGAAGAGGATTCAGGCTGAGAAGGCCAGTACCTCGCAGGGGTCAGCGCCTCCTAAGAAGAAGGCTAAACCTTCGGCTTCGCAGTCCTCTGCGCAGCCCAAGTATAAGCCTCCCTTCAAGGGCAACAAATGGAAGGGTAAGAAGGGTAAGAACCCTCCTGGGGGTAAGAAGAAGGGTTCCTGACTCTCTTCTTCCCTCCTTGGTCGTGTCAGACGACGAGTTTGGCCGGGAGGACTGCAGTCCTCTCGGCTCAAGCTTAGGTCCTTCTCCCGCAGGATTAGACTTCGGGTCAGCAGACGGTTCTCTTGCCTGGCAAGGTCTCGATCTGCCTCGACCAGATCTTCCTGTGGGGGGTCGTATTTCCGCTTTCCTTCCAGAGTGGAAGGAAATTACGAAGATGCATGGGCCTTGTCTGTGGTCAAGGAGGGGTTAGGGGTTAGGCATCCGCTAGTGCGGTATCCGCGTCAGAGCCAATCTTTTTTCCTCCACCGGGGGATCCGGAAAAGGCTTTGGCTTTCCAGGAGAAAGTAAGGACCATGCTTACCAAGGGCGCGGTCGAGGAGGTTCCTATGTCGGTATGCACTCCCGGGTTCTACTCCAGAATGTTTCTGGTTCGGAAGAAGTCCGGGTCGTGGCGTCCCATCATAGATCTAAGTGCCTTCAACAAGCACGTAGATTCTCCTCACTTCAAGATGGAGACTCCTCGGGGTATTATCGCCTCCGTGAGAGAGGGAATGTGGGCGACTTCAGTAGATCTAAAGGACGCCTACTGCCACTTCCCCATCAAAAACTCGGCACGGAAGTACCTCCGTTTTACTTGCAACGGAAAGGTCTTCCATTTCCGGGCCATGCCGTTCGGGCTCACAACTGCACCTTTGGTTTTCACTAAGCTGCTGCAGGTGGTCGTGGGATTCCTGCACTCTCGAGGAATAGATGTTCACATCTATTTCGACGACTCCCTCATGCTCCACCTAGTGAGAGAGTCTCCGGTTCAGGTCACCCGGTTGGTTCTGAAACTCTTACTCAAGGTCGGCTTCATTCCTTCCAGAGAAAAGTCGGAGGTTTCCCCATCTCAGGATTTTGTTTTCCTGGGGAACCGTTTCAATACGGTTCAGGGCATCGCCCTTCCACCGATGGAGAAGTTCGAGAAGGCAAGGGCTTTTGCTCTGACCTGCATCGGCCGGTCTCAAGTCCAGGTACGTTGGTTTCTCAGTTTTCTCAACGCCCTGGCCGATGTGGTCCCCTTAGGGAGACTTCACATCAGGCCTCTCCAGATGTTTCTCCTTGTCAACTGGGTCCCTTCTTCAAGGGATTGGGAAGCCTGGGTTCCTCTGAACAAGTCGGTCAAGAAGTTCGCACGCTGGTGGACTCATCAGGACAATGTGCTCCGAGGGGTTCCTTTGTCCAAGCCGGTTCCCACTATGACCCTGTACACGGAAATGCAGTTGACAATTTGCGTCAAGCATCTACCAGGCAGGTTGAATGTTCTGGCGGATACTCTTTCCAGACGCCGCCAGCCGGTGTTGACAGAGTGGCAACTGAATCCCTCGATTTTCGAGGGAATTTATCAGGTGTGTGACAGGCCTCACATAGACCTGTTCGCCACTTCACTGAACAATCAGTTGCCAACGTTTGTCTCTCCGGTTCCAGATCCAAGGGCTTGGGCCGTGGACGCTCTGTCTCTGGATTGGGAGGGAATGCATGCATATGCATTCCCGCCCTTCAACCTGGTGGGCAGGGTGCTGCAGAAGTTTCGGGGGCATCAGTGTTCACTCCTCCTGATAGCGCCCCTGTTGCCGAGGCAGCCTTGGTTTCCGGAGCTTTTGTCACTTCTGGTGGAAGAGCCCCTGGCTCTTCCTTCCAGAGCGAACCTCCTTCGCCAGCCTCGGTCCAGGCAATGCACTCTCGTCCGGAGATCCTCCACCGTCACGCTTGGAAGCTATCTCAGGAGGCCTCGCTCAGGCGGGCTTTTCTAGGGACGTGTCAGATCGCATCGCTCGATCAATTAGGTCTTCCTCATCTGCCGTCTACCAGTCCCGATGGAAGATATACTGTGATTGGTGTGTCGGCAGGAAGGTTGATCCATCAAGGCTACTGTCCAGGTGATTGCGGACTTCCTTCTTTGGCTGTTTAGGGACCGCTGTCTTGCCCCTGGCACTATCGCTGGTTATCGCACGGCCATTGCTAGTGTTCATTCTGTTCATGGTAGGTCGGAGGTAGGCTCGTCCTCCTCTCCTTCTGCCTTGATTAGGGGGTTTGGGTTGGACAGGCCTAGGTGCTCGAATCGTTGATGCGAGCACCTTATGATCCTTTAGCGTCTGCCTCCTCGCCCAATCCTATTAAGATTCCGTCTTTGACTGCCTTCGTTGGGTCTGAGGAACGGGATAGGTTGCTCTGTTCCTGTCGGCCGCTTATGTTTTACCTCGATAAAACCGGGGGGGGGGGGGGGGGCGTTTCCTAGATCTCGTCTGTTTTTGCCCATTAGGCTGGGTCAGCAGAATATCTCCTCTAAGTCAGTGTCTAGATGGATCTGTCGGGTCATCAAGTACGGTTACGACCACTCGGGTGATCAGGTTCGGGCGTTGTATAAGGTGAGAGCTCATGAGATCAGGGCTCTTGATGCGTCATGGGCCCTCCTCAATGGGCCCCCCTTTCAGGAGGTCATGTCCGCGGCTTTCTGGCGCGGACAGACTACCTTCACGGATTTTTATCTCCGGTCCTTGGCTTCTCATTCTGATGGATTGTATTCCCTTGGGCCGGTGGTGGTTGCACAGTCTGTGGCTGTTCCTCCACAGTAATTCAGTGATTTTAAACAGTATGCTATCAGGCACCACGATGGTACACCTGCTCGATTCACGGGGAGGTTTTCCATTTATTTATTTTTTCAATTACTTTCGGGGCTTATTTAGGGGGGTTCCTTGAACCTTTTCCCTACCTTGAGCATGTCTCTAGTTTGTTCCGTCAGCCTGGTCTGCCTGGATTCGTAGCCTCCACTACGGTAAGACGAATTCGCATACTAAAGTTATGGTAATTATTACTGAAATTAAATTGAGGTTTTAGAAGTAAAACCAAATTTCATGATGTAATACCTACCATAACTTTATTGAGTCCATCCCTGTATTCCTCCCCTTGCCTCCTCATCCCGGCTGCCTTTAGGCTCCATAAAAGGGGAAGGGAGATCACTCCGTGGCTCTGTCATCGAGATATGGGTTACCTCACGGTAGGGAGGTAGGGATATTTGAATATTTTGTTTTTGGGCTACAAAGATGGGTGTAGGTATTGTATATGCATACTAAAGTTATGGTAAGTATTACATCATGAAAATTGGTTTTACTTCAAAAACCTCAAGTTTATTTAATAGCTATGAATTGAAATACATACTTAATGGATAACATTGCTGTAAATCGTTTTGTTGAGCGCACTTTTGTCCTAATGTTGTCGATCCAGAATTAGTGCTGTTGTATGTGGTTGCATCCCTTGACTGAGTGGTTGTCATCCTTGACTGGGTGGTTATCTCTCTTGACTGAGTGATTGTCTCCCTTGACGGCGTGGCTGTCTCTTTAGACTGAGTGGCTGTTGTCCTAGATTGACTGGCAGTCGTTGTCTCCCTTGGACTGGAAATTGAGACACATTTTGTGGACAACGAAGACCCCGGACCTACCATTTGAAATAGAAATATGTGTTAGCAAGCCTTTATAAAAGGTAAAAGACTAGGAAGTACGTTATGTAGCTTAAAGGTCTGGTTTCGATATTGCAACACTCCAAATATAAACTTTCGCAAATGATGGGGATGACCTTGTGCAAGTGAATTGGATGGAAGCAAGAAGCAGTTTCTTTGTAACTAAAAAATATTAAAAAATTCAATGAAAATACGAGAACATGACAAAATTCATTAATGTGCTGCATACATTATATCAGTTAAAGGTCATATTGAAACCATGAAAATTGTATTGAAAATTAAAACATAAATAGAAGAATAACACAAATCACTTTACACTAACCTATCGGTAAAATGTATAACCTGAAACATCTTTACACATTTCGGGAAACTGTGTGACGTACGCATTTAATAAATGACTACCTTCTCTTTGGGATGGGTAATAGAATTTTTTTGGGGGGAAACATATCGACTGATTCTCGAATAACATTTGCCTGTAAACATTTCGTACGCATTTAATAAATGTCTACCTTCTCAGTCTTAAATTATTTATAATAGTACATTGATATAGGGATCGAATGGATATTTTTCATGTACATTGCGGCAATGAATAGCAGTAGCTGATCTACATATCCTGTGGAGCATGTCAATGCTCCTCAGATGATATGTAGATCAGCTACTGCTATTCATTGCCGCAATGTACATGAAAAAAATCCATTCAAATAATATATTTACGTTACGGTGAACTACAATAAAAAAGTTACAATTCTTTTTGTATTTTTATTATTTTTGATATTGGCATCAGACAGAAAAAAATAAATGAACAGCCAGAACTCCAGCCTACACACAAACTTCAAATGTTCAACTTCCGCCAATCAGTTGATTTTGTTGAAACGAAAAATATGTATCTTATATATATATATAGTGCACCATTTATGATTTTTGTAATGTTTATAATTATTTCTCGGAGAAGGGGAGATAACTCTTCTCAGAAACGGTACTTTGCATAGTAATATGATGTGTCATTGTGTGTGAAATCAGCTGACCGATCGCATGAGAATCGTTGTATTTATAGTGTATTCATGGTCTAATTGCAGTTGTTTTTAGTTGGTAGATTCATGTACAGAACAAACATCAAGAATGAATATATAGGTATTTGTATGAACCTGTGTTAAATACTGTAGTTGAAAACATAAAACAACTCTTTCACAATATCACACAAATGAGGAAGAAACAAACAAGATAGTAAAGTAAAGCTATGTCAGGCTATTGCTATTACGGAAAACGTGTTTCTGCTTTTCATTTAAACTTTTTTAACACTGTTAATCGTTTCCATAAATACGACGTACCTGCAGTTAGTGAGAGACAATATCCTGAAGAATTTCCACTCGGTGCAGAGAGCCATACAACAGTAAATGTATCGTTTGTCTGAACACCGTTGAATGTATCGAAAATAGCCCCACAAAAGTATTTGTTAATGTTTGGATGAACATCTGAAACATCTACTCGCTGCGATGTCATAATAATATGACTTCCACATCCAGAGGGAGGATATAACGACCGGACAGATTCAAACTGGAAAGTTGTTTTCGTTCCGTCGGGTAGTCCCGTCAATGTCACTGTACAGGAACAGTTGAACCTGCCGCCATCTTTTCTGTACGCAGACGATCCGTACGTGTCTATAACCACGTGATCACCGACGGTATTACCATCTTCACACATGTGCAGTACTGTAATGACAATATTAAAGAAATTAATTGTGATGGTTTACTACAAAACCAAACAGTAGATAAAGATACCCGTACTACTGCCAAAAACTGTAACCATGCACTGGAAATCGGCATGTTGCCAGTATGACTAAAGCTACGATAAATCATACCTAAAAATAACACAAGGACTTTATTAAACAATAGAAAAAATAATCAATAACAGTATAATTGTAAAAATCAAAATCAGCGGAACAATAGTCCTGGATTCGAACCATAGGACTCAACGAATATTCCCCGACCCAGTTGTACTTCAGGTATTTCCATGGAGAGTTCAGTAATACCGTAAAACGGGTTATTTACACGGGATGAAACTTTCGCCATTTTGACCGAAATTTTGAAAATTTAATTTACACGAATTATATTTTCGCGATCGAGACATGTGAAGGAACTATATTTTTGCGGTGTTTTAGCACAGAGACGGGATATTCTACATAAAGAGTGTCAAATAATTATATGTAAAGACTTTATGACAGCATATTGTTAAAATAAATCATCAACCAAACTATTAGATGTTATATAACCTATTTTCATATATTATTGCTCTTTATGTACATTTGTATATAAATCGCCACAACCACGTGCACATACTCGCTATTTCATGACGACATAACGGTTATAAAGTCGATTATCGTGGAGAAGTTTTACACTTAACATATTTTTCTATAGATAATATTTTCGCGATCACAATACATGTAATTAAGGGCCCGCGAAATCGTAAATATATCATCATATATTTATTAGTAATTTGATAAAGTCATGTATTGGTTAAGTTATGTGTCATTAGAATCAGATATTGGTAAACGTTTGTATCGGTAAAATCAGGCTTCGTTGAAGGACTCGCACAACTAAATCAGTCAATCAGCAAGTGTTTCGTACGTTTGTAGTTCCTATCTAAAATAAGTTCCGGCTAATTACTGGGCCACTGAATGAGTTTAATGAGGAACTGATGACAGATTTTTAGATAAATGAAATGTTCAGTTATTTAAATTTTGAAAAATATGTAATTTGATATATTTCCATGTCTGTGTGGGGATTTGCACAGGGTCAAAATGTCTGGGGGCGTTTCTGTTTTGGGTCACCGGTTTTGCTTGTAAACTTCCGGTGCTGTGGCACTCCAGTATGCCACTAAACCTACCAAAAAAATAATTTTGTAGTCTATGCAAGGTATGTATTTATGAATCTAGACAGTTGTCACTAGTTTTGAACTTCAAATATTAAAGTTATTAGCTAAAATGTTTGGTATTAACATATAGTAAATGATTTAGTTGTGTGAGTCCTGAAATAGGCTAATAGAACAATACGTCTGTCTAGTGTTTTTTTTATTCCCGCTCTTTGAACAAAATTCAATATCAGAAAATATTACATCATAACGAAGTCCTAATAAACTGCTAAATTGTATATTAATACAGCGCACATGCTATATACCTTGAAACGACATATTTTGGAATGCCATATTATCTCGATATTTTTTATATTCACAAAGGCCTGAGTTCTGCCAATTTATTGTGTATGCAAAAACCTTTGAGAAAGTATATTCTCGAAACTTTCTTTGGGGAAATTTAGGTGAAAATAAGTTATTACCGGTGGTACCATCTGTAACGGCGTCAGAACAAACAGTCCCAGCTGAATCTGTCGTAAATAAGCACACGATAAACTTAAAACATGCAGATTTACATTTACAAAGCATGTAAGTAGAAAACATGATGGAGAAGAGTTATCGCTCTTTTCATAAAATTATTCACAGAGTAAACATTTTGATAAAAGCATTTGTTATTTTTGTATTCGTTAAAAACAGATTTTACTTAAATTATTCAAAAAAATGGCTTGCACAACATTTTAAAACCTTACCAAACCCTAAATTAAGAGAGAGAAAAATTGAATACAAAAGGAGGGTGGAAGGAAAAAAGGGAAGGAAGGAAAGGAAGTATGAAAGGGGAAAGGGGAGGACAATTGGGAGATTTATATTCGGAATCGTTTCTACAAAATATGTGTTTCGAAAGAAATAGCAGTCGATAACAGTATATGTTTTATGATATTTCGCAAATAAACGACAAAAATGTTTTGAAAACGTAACGAGAAACATTATTTTCAGATTTAATTTTGTTGAAACAGAGCTACAAAAGTCGTCCAGTCCAATGATGTCATTAAGACAGTGTTTCCTCGACTTTTAAAATTGATTTACCTATGTACTCAAGAAAGTTCCTCCTCCGTTCCAAATGCCACAAAACTCATCGTCTGGGTTACGTATGACATTCGAAATAATCCTATAATTCAACACATCCAGGCCACCTGCTAATTACAGCTTTTAAAACCAAGCCAGATCCAGTTACGATAATTTAGATATTTATATAGGCCTAATGGGAAGTCCTAGATATTACTCGGTACAAGATTATCTGTAATGGAATACACTTACCTTTGTACAAATTCACCAATGTAGACACAAATACCAAATACCACAGGGCCATGTCGTCCTCTGTTGTCAAACTGTGTAAAGTAACCAGCAAAGAGTGTCAAATTCCTTATTTGTTAATAATATAGGATAAGACTTAGACGAACTCATTTGATTACTAACCAAGAATATTTTTTTTGTCAACACTTCAACATCGGTGACGCAACGACGAGAATCATTGCTATGTGCATTGGACCATGTCGGTTTTCATGTCATATAAGTGTACTTCCTGGTACAAATCTACTGACCGGGTTTGACATGTTTAGGTTGAAACATGGCTATATTTGTATTTACAATTTATGTACATACATAACTGCATACATTTCTTCGACTAATCCTTAAGAAGACAGTCACTTAATCATCGGGCGACTTACGTTGTAAAAGAAAATGACAATTATAGTTAATGCCCAATTCAATAAGCAGCGTCGAGGTCTTCAGTATGTTTTTAATTTTTAATTTTATTTGTAATATCTTTTTGCAATTTCGTGTTAATATACATTGCGCTTTTCGGGACATACCAAACACAAATATCTGTCAATATTACTAAGGTACAGTTATGTTGTCGCCTTTTATTCTATTCTCCTGAATTAACCTCCAACAGGTTCATCAACACCAAGATATACATACAACCTAGGAGATTGGTTCTGTATTGCTAACCACCCATATCACCGTAGGGACGATGCTATTTTTGGTTCAGGTAATGATTTTACGCCCATTTTCTAAATTAAAAATAAAAATCAACAAGGAAGTTAAATTATGTTCGCTTCGTATAGTCTACAATTTAAATATAGCACCACTGTTGGTTTTTTTTAATTAAAAACCGGTTTGCCGTCTGTCAACTGTCTTTATGTCTATTTACTGTTCATACAGTGCCTTACCTAACTGTATTTAGAGCGTACCACAGAGTAACATGTGATCAGCATGTTAACATTCAACTTAGAATTGTAAAGGCGATCGGTTAAGTCACTTTATAGAAGATATATGTGCTAGTACATAGGCTAATAGATTGTATTTGTCTTCTTCACAAAAAATGTATGAATGAAATATGCATAGGCCATTAAAATGTATTTGTCTGTTTAACAAAAGATTTAGAGACACTAAAAATGATGTACAACCCCTTTTGCAAAAAGGAGTATCTTAACTTAATCAGTGATGGCTGATACGCAATCAGAAATATTGCTTAAATTATATAAGAAAACAAGGACTCGGTCACGGTAATTTAAATATTAGATGAATCATTGTTTACATCCCTCTTTGTTGACTCATTATCACGTAGAGGGGGGTTATTTGTAATTTTAGAAACATCAGGTCAATATTCACTTCATGACGTCTTTTTAATTTTATCGCCACAATGTTTTCTGCCAAATGCGGTACCTTTCTCGATACGATTTGCTTACCGTTTGTCTTCTTTTATGATAAATCGTCAAAATTTCATATCTTATATAACATTAAGGTAGGCGTTTTATTTTGGTGAATATGTCGTTATATTTACGTGAGATGTGATACGGATCTAGATTTCGTCTTGGTGAATATCGTTTTCTCAGTTTCATATAACCACACATTCAAAGTACATGTCAATTGTGTAGAATGTTAACACTTAACACTTTTTAATGGAGAAAATATATATATGTATTCTCGTTGTTATAAAATGGGCATATCTGATATACAGAAAAGAGTGGCTTTATTCTACACAATACTTGTGTAAGCATGCAATATTAAAGATATTATCTAACACATCATACACGGCTATACAGAAGGAAATAGAAATATGAGCTCCAAAACCAATTACACTCTACCCATGAAATCGCATCCATAACCTGTCTTTTTATAATGATCAGTAAACAGGCAATGTAATGCAACGTAAAGGAAAGCACACTCATCTCTAAATAAAAATAGGAATACCTTATATCATATCAATAATGAAGACAGTGCTCTGTGTAGACAGAAAAAAAGTAAATGCCTCTTAGTAAGGACGTTTGACAGGAAAACATGCATATATTTCTATAATATTTGTAGAAGGTGTCTTTGAATAGAATAATCAATCAGTCTTGGTAAAGTTGACGTGTATGTGTTCACGGAAGTAAAACCGTGAATTTTTAAAGGAATTCCCGACCTTGGACAACTACGTTGACTCAAACATACGTAAGCCCACTGTTTGGTGTCTGTCGCGAGTGAAGTTTTTACTCAATGCCCTGTAAGTTATAACTGGTCTGACCGGATGAGTCGGTTCTAAAATAAGATACAATACATATATACCTTATATGTTTTCGTGGAACATTGTGTGTATAACAGCATAAGCCTAATTTTCCAGCGCTGAACAGACCAGGAAGCTTAGGAATATAAGATATTAACTCTGCCCTGCGAGAAAGGACAAAATGATTGTATGGAACCTGATCTTAGTGTGGATACTGATGAGTTTATTTAAAGGTGAGTGTGTTCTTTTTCAAGAGGGAGAGAGGTATAATTGTATTTAAGGATTGGTGTATATCTGACATGATGCTATCGATGACTCTCAACACCATGATCTTGGTAGAGGTCCTAGTAAGTTATAAGACCTTGTGCCCAATCCCTTTGACTGTGTAATGTCAATCAAATATGTTTGAATTAATTAATGACACTCAAGTTAAAACAGTAAATACAGAATGGAAGGGGTTAAGAGACCTAGTGAAAGTTTGGCATTTCAATAGATATTAACAGCATGAAAGGTTACTGAAAAGTGTTAACAAATAAAATAAACTCTTTATCAATATATATCAATTCATCAACCTGTTACATGTCAGAATCACTTACCAAATATTAAGTCAGGCTTTATGCCGTCGTAATTTTTCCATCAATATGTATTATTTGTATTGATTTAGGTAGGGTTTTTTAAACTGTCGATTTCACTGACATACTGGTCCGTGGAAGATGAAGTATGGGGGTTGGATGATCGATTGGTAACGAATCGATATAAACCTATAATACTCCAAAAGCCATGTGTAACATCCAATGTCGGAAATTATTGTACAGTATATAACACGTATGCGACCTCTATATACTCGTATAAAGTATTTACTTGGTTGGTTGGTACCTTTATATAACAAAAATAAACTATATATAAATTTAACCTTATTAGATAAGAACCCATTGTTAAGATATTACAAAAGACAAAAGACAAAATTCCTATGTATTGGTATGTTACTATTTTGAATGTCAAGTGTAACAATTGTTTACTTTGTTTTATATAACAGATACAGCAGGGACTGTTTGTTCTGATGCTGTTACAGATGGAACTTCTGGTAAATATGATGATAAAAATTCATTTCTTTTTTTAAATATATTTTTTTACTTGATCTAAGTATATTGAATATTAAAAGCGAATGTTCAATTTAAATGTTGACGTACATCAATTGTCGTTTTAAAGTTCAAATCGAATTCCCCATTATTCATTTCTGTTAAAAACCAAGAAATGACAAGAAACCATATAATGGTGCATCGTAATCACCGTTGTGAATGTAGTTCATGAGAGCGTTTAAATAACCTCGATTATGTATTCATTATAAAGCATGGTTATATTTACATTCAGATGTTTACATTTTGTCCTTACAGTACTGAACATGTGTGAAGGTGGTAATGCCGTCGGTGATCACGTGGTTATAGATACGTACGGATCGTCTGTGTACAGACAAGATGGCGGTAGTATCAACTGTTCCTGTACGGCGACACTGGTGGGACTTTCCGACGGAACTACGACAACTGTCGGATATGAACCTGTCTTGTCGTTATATCCTCCGTCTGGATGTCGAAGCAGCATTACTATATCAACGCAAGTAGCAGCTTTCTCGGCTGCTAAACCAAACACTTACCTTTGTCGTCTTGTATACAATACATTCAATTCCGTTCAGAAAAACGATACAATAACTGTTGTATGGCAGTCTGGAGCCAATGGAAGTACGTCCGGATATTGTCTTTCGTTTAGGGCAGGTAAGTCGTGTTTTGTGTCAAGTTTTATGTAATAAACAGATTTTCTTATTGTAGAACTAACAGCCGAGGATAAAATGTATATCTAGATTTTCATTGTCTCTTCCTGTAGTATGTATCACATATTATAAAAATATGGCATTATTGACATTATCAGAAACAACAGTTCCCTGTTTGTGTTTTTATTTTATAGAGGTTCCCCAACGAGTACTGATTAGTTATCATGATTATTAAACTCGAGTTAGTTAATTTTCAAGTTGCATTAAGGACCGAGGTTTACAGAGTGTGTTTTACAATTGGAAAAAATAACTAATGAAATTAACTAATGAGAGCTAGATAAACATGATCATAAACCATCACGAGTTGGGGAAAGTTTTTCATGTCATAACTAGAAAATCTCGTCTTTCTTCTCTGAATACATTACTCCTGTTTGTGATCGGGGAAACAATCGCTATGAAATATGATATCACAAGAGAAGAAGGATTAGCAAAGGAGTGTTAGCAGACGTCATAATTAGACGATTGACCAATGAAATAACGTTCAGGGTGTTACATTGTACCTACATGTACTACTAGAGGCTAACCAAAAACTTAACCAACTCTTAGTGGGTTTATCTAATGAGTCGGGAGTGAGGAAACCTGCATCGGTTATGGAAGAGGTACCATTAAATACAAGGTAGTTGTTTAACGTTTGTGTTACATAAATCACATTATCCTAATTATTCATTGTATAACCCTTAAATTACTGTAGAAAGTGTGGTCCGTTTCGCAAATAAAAGAATGAGTACAACCATTTTCTAATCATGAAATCCTGTTTTAGAGTCTCACCTAAGCAACATAATACATTAATTGTTGAATACGTTTCATGGTTTATATAGATTGTGTATAGCCATTATACAATCATTTCCAATGATTCAGTGTCTTTTCTGCAAACGTTATAGGCCCGGATTCATCATTGTCAACCAAATGTAATCATACCTTCAACACCACAACGCTATCACCTACATCTCCTAGTACAGCGTCATCACCAACATCTCCTAGTACAACAACACCAACTAGTACAACGGCGATGACGTCATTGATGACGACAACTAGTACTACAACTACAACCGATCCTACAACTACCATCACGTCTACTATTGGTGGCGGAACCAATGGAGGGGGAGCCATTACGTCGTCAGAGAAGCCTACCATGAGTCCGGAGGCTACTACAATGGCGGACAAAATTAAAGAGAAGAATTTAGACAGTAATTTTAATATTTTTTCCAAGTATGTAAATGTATAGTATCGTATAGTATGCTGAATTTGTGTTACTTCTGTTAAATAATAGGACATTTTCGTCAGATCCATTACCCCGTTTTGGCATTTCAATCGCGTATTTGTGATATCCTAAGCGTCATTTGACTTTTACCGTGAAGAATAAATGTTGAGTTGTATTTTGGTCAGTTTATAACACAGTTTCTATTAAACTTCGAATAGGGCTTCAGTCAAGGAACAGAAGATACTACATTCCCTATACCTGAAAGGATACTTTAAATGAAATCGTTAAACACAAGTATTGTTTTACAAATTTGGAAATTATGGCAACCCATTGTTACAAATGAAACCGCGAAACTACACAGGAAGAGTATATGTGGTCGTTAATTGATATTAGCTACATTTACTCGCGAACATAATGTAGATCGGGATGTTATTCTACAATGACTAATTTCTTTAATGTGTTCATACGTTGTAGGTGTGGCAGATTTTAATTGTACATAGGACTACGGTCGCCTTCTAGCTTCGAGCTAGAGGGAATTTCCCTTTAGCTCAGTGGTAGACCGTCCGACTAGGAACCTGGAGATCGAGGGTTCGATCCCTGGTGGAAGCACACTATTCTCTTTCCTGTCTCAAACGGTGTCCGTAGACCTCCTTGTGGTGACAGGGAGTTAGAACCTGGGTTGTGGTGTTCGAGGGCGAACACATTTAAAAAGGGAGGAGTAGTGTGGCAGATTCTAATTATTCATAGGATTACGTTCGCCTTCGAGCTAGAGGGAATTTGCCTTTAGTTCAGTGGTAGAGCGTCCGACTAGGAACCTGGAGATCGAGGGTTCGACCCCCGGTGGAAGCACACTATTCTTTTTCCTGTTACATAAGCAATGTCAAAGAAACACAATTATTTCAGACTTATAACCGCATACTTAAAAACACAGCCAAAGGTATTTCTTGTTAACACATTTTGACAGTTTACAAAAATACAATCGTAGTATAACTTTACTCTTTACTTTCATGTATTTATATACATAAAGAAACGTAAATTGATAAGTTTAAATCAATACACGCGACAGTATTAAAATCAATACAGAAATTTCTATGTACTATTGTTAAATGCATGATTACACAAGACATACCTCTGTTAATAAATGACATAATTGGTATGTAAATAGTGATAGTCATTAAGTTCTCGTTGCTATGAATGTATCTGTCTTTGTATCATTTCAGCTACGGTTATTATCGCAATAGCTGCAGGGGGCGTGGTCTTCCTTATAATCTGCATTGTCATTGCGGTCATGTGTTCAAGGTTTGTATTTCTAATACGGTAAATAGCTCTAGGTTAAAAGGAACGAAATGGTATTAGTTTGTTTAGATTGTTATTAAACAAAGTTATCACATGCCATCAATAAACAAATCACCTATATGTAAATATAACATTTAATTAAGTGTTTCTATGTTTTAAATGATAAAAGATAATTAGTTCAGGTTTCGAATACATGTAGATATATATTCCCAATGTGATCAAATCATTTTGACATTATTGTCCACAATAGTGAAAGATGTTGATTACAGGGCCTAGGCTCAATGACTTAGGGGATAGTATAGAACAGTTATCGTTGTTTTATGTCATGTTATGTAGAATAAAATAATTTGAATTCGAAATATGCTTTGATATAAACATCATTCGACATAGCTCTTTGTGGCTAGAATGTTAATATAATTAAAGTTAATAATTGAAAATTGTTGCAAATGCATTGTAAAAGATTTTGAATTTCTCAAGTCTACTTCAATCGCCAATCACATTGATATGTGCATTTTGTATTTTTCAGAACAAAAAGAAAATCAAAAGAACACAGGGAAACTGAAACTGCTGTAGACCATAATGTCTTGTATGAAGCAACAAGAGCACATTCACCGGATGCAGCAACCAATCATGTGGTGACCCCTAGCGGCGATATATACGCACAGGTCGAAAGGCATTCGAAGGTCGAAACAACGAATTCAAAAGAGCAGTCTCATGATCAGGAACAGGAAATAGGTCATGTGGCGACACCTAGTGGTGATATATATGCACAGGTCGAAAAGCATTGGAAGGTCGAAACAGCGGTTTCTAAAAAGCGGTCTCATGAGCCGGAACAGGAAATAGAACATGTGACGACACCTGGTGGTGATATGTATGCACAAATCGAAAAGCATTCGAAGGGCGAAACAACGAAATCAACCAATCACTCCCATGAACCGGAAGAGGAAGTAGAAACTGTGATGACACCTAGAGGTGATATTTATTCACAATATGGGAATAAGTCAGATGCTAGTGTGTATTTCTAATGAAATATTCAAATGATGAGCTACTAAGGACACAAGCAAATTTAATCATGGTGATGGTTTCAAGTCAAGCTAACGTCAGTATATAGAGAGAAATGCATCTTGACCACCCATCAATTAAACTTGCTCAAGAGTTCTAGAGCTAAAGACTGATGGATACAATACTTGCCAGAAAAGATAATTTCACATTGGAAGAGCAGTATTCAGTGCCACAATAAAGATACTTCATTAATACATATAATATATATTCATTTACATATTCATTTCAATAGTCCACGGATAGAAACTGTCAAATGGCAAACTGTGTTAAAACATATTGTCATTTTATTATTTCGCTTTTATAAAATTATATGCAAATTTCTTTTGTGTAATTTTTCTTTTTTATGCTGTAAATTCCTAATTATTGTTTCATAAATGTTTTTATTGTTGTTTTAGATTATGCTAAATTAGCATGTATTCTGTCAATTTTTAGTTTTTGCCATATTGGCATATATGTACATTTGACTGAAACGTCTCTTAAATTAATGTATATGCTGCATGAGCTTTACGTTTGCATGACCTTTAATCTTTCCGTGCTATTTTACTTTTTATTCAACTATCTGTGATGCATGCTACCTTTGTGAAATTTTGTTGTTTCTATTAATCTTGATTGTTATATATAGTCGTAAGAATAGCTCTTCTGAGCTAAAGATGCATTGTTACAAACACGACTCTAAATCAAAATTCTTGTATCTTGTATCTTGTATATATATATATATTAAGGCCTTGTCCCAATGCACTCATGCTTTGAACTTCTTTATAGTATTGATTTTTGTTTCTATTAGTACAATTATTAATATCTTATTATCCGTACAATAATAAGAATGCTTTTCGCACAAATACTTATCACAAAGAAACTGACCGGACGAATTATTTTGAAAATAAAATTAAAAATATTTTCATCATCTTAAGTTAGTATTTATTTGTTGTATTCAAATATTCTTGAACCTATATATGTACATTGTACTTACTAGTTTTTAGTGATGAAAGTATCATGTAATATGTTCATAATATTGCCTACATGTTAATATTAGTTAATGATGACCTTGTATTACACATATACATTTGTAGAAATGTCAAAATGAAAATGAAAACCCTGATTTGTTTTAATGTCAAGTTGTTTCTGACACCTAATACCTAATGATATTTAAATACAATACGCATGCAAAACAAGTGATTCATTCAGCCCTTTGTTCTTCACATCTCCTGCATTTATTACTATCATCATGTCCATTTCAATACAAGAGACAATTTAGTGAAAGTGCTCATATAAATTTCAAATTAATGATTTAAATATAGTTTCCTTTAAAATTATTCGTTTTGGAACGTTTATAGTGTCCTGTAAAGTATGAAAATCGATAAAGTTGGTCCAGCCTTATTTGCTTACATATAAGATTTAATTTGCCTCAAGTGATTTTAAGTACAGTTAACCAGGTAAACTGTGATATTCGCATTCACATATTTACTAATAAATACGACTTTTTTGTATATGCGATACGACACAGTTGCTCTAACCCATATCAGCCCTCACCGTATTCACACACCAAAAAAAACAAAAAAAACAAAAACGTATCAGCCCGCAAAACCCGTGCCACACCCCTTTTGTAACACCACCAACAACGTCATTAGGAACCCTTGTTTACCAACAGTTCAACAATGGCTGATGCTGAAAAACGGCTACGAATTGGGGAGGGAACATTAGAGTCTCATGCCAGTAGGATTCTTGAGTTAGAATATCTGATTGAGCAACAGAACAATAAACCCATTGTGCCGCCAGAGCTGTCTGTCGCCATTGGTACGATTGACGATGTGGCGACAGAGGAAGCAGAGGAAACAGAGCCTAAAGCTCTCATCGTTACAGCTGCAGCAGACGACACCTGCGGATTTGTTTCAAGCATGAGAAACAAGAATACTGTCAGAAAGACCGAGTCTGACGTGAGGAAATTTAAGGCATTTCCTTCGGTAACCAATGACACATGGAATCTAGAAGTAGTTCCAAAACAGGAACTAAATAATACCTTGCAAGGTTTTTCGTTTTTCAATAATTCAAAAGAAAAATAGATCATAAGATAGTAGATTTATCCGTATTTTATTAGTAAGTATGTAATAAACAGAATAAAACATATCTTTTACCATATCACACCCAGTATCAACCCGACACCTATATCAGCCCTCGTATTATTTTCTTTATTTTCATTTTCACAAAATGCAAACTAAACTACTTGATTTTTGTGCACAATCTGAATTACGGTTGGAGTTTTAGATTAAATTAGTTTTAATTAAGCAGATTGGTTGCACGTATATGGCAATCCTCGATACCTCATGGGCTACGCTCACCCCTGGAATATGTCCTGACAAAATCTAAGGGTCAGTGTGCGCCACCTTGTGGATGAAAAGAGAAGACTAAACCGATCCTTTGATGTACATGAAAAGAATCTCTCAGTCGCGTAACGGTAAAATTGACTGGCATTGAAGTCGGGTGTCGCTCCGCTTTGAAAAGGACATGTAACAGCCTAGTGATTGGTCAGGTTTTTTTTAACATGAGACAATCAAATAGCCAGTCGCATGCCTTCAAACTTACTATGACATTAGTCAAGGGGTGCAGAGAGCGAAAGTGAGCGTAACCCCTACAATACGTCAGAAAATGTCATATGGAATAACCGAGGAAAAACCCTAGAATCAATGTTGGCATTGAGTCTGCAAATAAAAATAACTGTTGTTTTCTCAATCTGTTTGCTTTTTAACGTATTAGTCGCAAAAAATATTTTCTTACAAAAAAAACATCTGTTGTTTCCCTAAACAAACATATTCATCCCCGAACTCTAAACTCAGACTACGCATTGTGCATGTGAGAGTCACATAGGAGTTATAACGTCATTATCTAATCAAAAAGCGACTTTATCGTCCTTTAGAAAAGTATTGATAACGTTGTTTATAGCGACGATCAGTCAAAAATGTTTGATGTGTGCTTAATGATAAATATACAAGTAGATGATTTAAACATAATGCACCATTGATGAAGTGTTGGAATGCATTTACACACAAAATCATCAACATATAACCACGCTGAAACGATAGTTTGCCTCAGAAATGTGTTCACTGCTTGAAGTACAAACTATATACATTTACAAACACATTCCGTCTTGTTTGTGAAAAAATGGATAAAATGTAATTTAAATATTTATACATTGAAATTAATCTTTTTAATATAATGTAAAATTTGGATATAGTGGGATTTAAACGATTCGATCTGGCACGGATTCTACATTATTTTCTTTATATTCATTTTCACAAAATGCAAACTAAACTAGTTGATTTTTGTGCACAATCTGAATTACGGTTGGAGTTTAAGATTAATTTAGTTTTAATTAAGCAGATTCGTTACACGCATGGCAATCCTCGATACTCCATGGGTTACGCTCACCCCTGGCATATGTCCTGACAAAATCTAAGGGTCAGTGTGCGCCACCTTGTGGATGAAACGAGAAGACTAAATTGATCCTTTGATGTACATCAAAAGAATCTCTCAGACGTCGCTGGCCCACTGTACACCCTTTGAGACACTCTCCTGTAAGGAATTTCTGGAAATCGAAAACGTTGGTGTAGACTCATTTGCATATTTGTATCACTACCCAATCGAACAGATCGACATGTATTTCGGGTTTCCAAAGATGCATCTAGATGAAGACTATGGGCACGGACTTATATAGCAATCTAATTCCGTGCTATGGGCATGGACTTATATAGCAATCTAATTCCGTGCTATGGGCAAGGTTTATGGTCTGCATCGTGATCTCCTCAGAGAATATGCTGTTTACTGTGTGGTATGAAGGTCGACATTTGTTTATGCTCATCATTGTGGTTCGTGCTATGAGAACGTTAACTACATTTACATGGCGGGTGAAACACAATACGCCTACATTCCAAAACACCTGGTCTACTATGTATTGTATGCTTTGTCATTTTGTGAAATATATAATCGACATTGCTACTTGAATAAATGTTAGGTTGGCCTGCGTTACAAAACCTGTTATATTATCGAAATGGGCCTGATCAAACTTCTCATCGATGTTGATTGAAAATGCGTAACTTTACATACCATTATGTAAAATACTTTCTGCATATATATCGATCTTAATGATACAGCAAGTTGATTTAGGGATTTTTTTTACATATTAAAGAGCTGTTTCTCCTTTCCAAACCGAAAACCACGTGATCGTACAGAAATAGAACAAAGCGTGATTTCTTATCTTTAAAGTTCGGTGTTGTTATGTTTTAAGGTATCTCGGTAGAGTTGTATGAAAATATCTGCTTTATACGCTTTTCATATTTTGTATTTGAAATGTTAAAGTTCGTTTTATATACCAGACGCAATAGAGCATCTAGCTTAGTACCACGCAAAATACCGAAAAATGCGGACATGGAATTATTTTGTATCTCAACCAAAATAAAAATTTAAAAAAGAGTCTCATGAAATGAAAAATATTGAAATAAAGTTTGAAAACTGGGGCAGTATCTTTTCTTGTAAATTCCATCCACATTTTGTTAATTTGTGAAATTTCACTCTACTATCATTTAGTTAAAAAAAGTTATTCAAAAGCGTACATCTATCATAAAGAATTTATGATAAAAGTGCTAAATTTGAACTTTGATTTAATATATCATTATATTTGTTATTTGGCGTATTTTAACCTATAAACTTTCATTCAATCTATATCATCGTGTGACATAAATATAATTAATATCCTGGAACTATATGTGTAAATTGTTTCTCCTGAACTTGTGTCAATTTAGATAAGTTCTATTTATGAAGCTTTTCCTTTAAAGTCGACATGTGTCATTGTTGTCAGATTAACTCATGCATTTACTTTGTCCATCTTATACCATATATCTTTCAACTTAATTATATTACGTAACANTTGTTATACAATTTGAAAAGTAAAAGTTCTGGAGATGTTGTATGGTCCAAATATAAATTTATTAAAATAACTTTCTCTAGGTCGGTGGATGATTTCTGGAGTATCCAAAAACACACCCGTACAGTCCGATGCCTAGCTCCTAACTGAAGTTACAAATCATAATCGTGTCCTAAGTACATTTACACAAAAGCAATTAAGCGTCATTCATAGCAATCGGCCTTTCAGACTTCGGCCGTACCCGACCAGGTAAGCCAATTTAGCTGTCCTTTGTCTGAGACTGAATGCAGTGTCCGATCTGGTATGACCAGTTAATCCTGTTACGTAATATAATTAAGTTGAAAGATATATGGTATAAGATGGACAAAGTAAATGCATGAGTTAATCTGACAACAATGACACATGTCGACTTTAAAGGAAAAGCTTCATAAATAGA